ATCAGATTCCAAACTCTCCACCATGGCAAAGACCAAAGAGCTCTCCAAGGATGTCAGGGACAAGATTGTAGACCTACACAAGGCTGGAATGGGCTACAAGACCATCGCCAAGCAGCTTGGTGAGAAGGTGACAACAGTTGGTGCGATTATTCGCAAATGGAAGAAACACAAAATAACTGTCAATCTCCCTCAGCCTGGGGCTCCATGCAAGATCTCACCTCATGGAGTTGCAATGATCATGAGAACAGTGAGGAATCAGCCCAGAACTACACGGGAGGATCTTGTCAATGATCTCAAGGCAGCTGGGACCATAGTCACCAAGAAAACAATTGGTAACACACTACGCCGTGAAGGACTGAAATCCTGCAGCGCCCGCCTTGGTCCCCCTGCTCAAGAAAGCACATATACAGGCCCGTCTGAAGTTTGCCAATGAACATCTGAATGATTCAGAGGAGAACTGGGTGAAAGTGTTGTGGTCAGATGAGACCAAAATGGAGCTCTTTGGCATCAACTCAACTCGCCGTGTTTGGAGGAGGAGGAATGCTGCCTATGACCCCAAGAACACCATCCCCACCGTCAAACATGGAGGACAACTTCACCGCATCAAAGGGAATATGGATGGGGCCATGTACCGTCAAATCTTGGGTGAGAACCTCCTTCCCTCAGCCAGGGCATTGAAAATGGGTTGTGGATGGGTATTCCAGCATGACAATGACCCAAAACAAACAGGCCAAGGCAACAAAGGAGTGGCTCAAGAAGAAGCACATTAAGGTCCTGGAGTGGCCTAGCCAGTCTCCAGACCTTAATCCCATAGAAAATCTGTGGAGGGAGCTGAAGGTTCGACTTGCCAAACGTCAGCCTCGAAACCTTAATGACTTGGAGAAGATCTGCAAAGAGGAGTGGAACAAAATCCCTCCTGAGATATGTGCAAACCTGGTGGCCAACTACAAGAAACGTCTGACCTCTGTGATTGCCAACAAGGGTTTTGCAACCAAGTACTAAGTCATGTTTTGCAGAGGGGTCAAATACTTATTTCCCTCATTTAAAATGCAAATCAATTTATAACATTTTTGACATGCGTTTTTCTAGATTTTTTTGTTGTTATTCTGTCTCTCACTGTTCAAATAAACCTACCATTAAGATTATAGACTGATCATGTCTTTGTCAGTGGGCAAAATCAGCAGGGGATCAAATACTTTTTTCTCTCACTGTATATATCCGTGTTTGTGTTTGGGTGGAGTAATAAAACCCCTAATACCTATTCCTGCTCCTGTCTTCTAATCATTATACGTGACACTCACACGTCCTGTTTTATTTAATGCCGAAATAACAGACTATGCCTGATTACGCAACCGTTTGGATCAGTCTGGGGTCTGTTCTCCACCGTGTAGAAGGTCCAGAAAGGTACATTATTAGGTCACTCATATGGTGTAGGCCTATTTTGTCAGGATGTAGTCCGCTGTTAAGACAGGATGGGACAATATGGGTTTCTCCTCCCCGCCCGTTCTTAATGCTGAAGCCTATTTTAATATTCAGCAAGCGTGCATCTCTCCTCCAATAGGCTGTTAGTAGGCTAAAGGAAATACAACAAGCTTTTTAGTCCGGCTTTTCCTTGGCTTTTCCTGGGACTCCACTTGCGTTTTTGAATACATATTCATTTCAAAATAACTGCAATTAACCTGCCTGACTGGGTAACCATTTTTTTACATTTTACATCTTAGTCATTTAGCAGACGCTCTTATCCAGAGCGACTTCCAGTTAGTGAGTGGATACATTATTATTATTATTCATACTGGAATCGAACCCACAACCCTGGCGTTGCAAACGCCATGCTCTACCAACTGAGCTACATCCCTGCCGGCCATTCCCTCCCCTACCCTGGACAACGCTGGGCCAATTGTGCGCCGCCCCATGGGTCTCCCGGTCGCGGCCGGCTACGACAGAGCTACGACATTTGGATCAGTTATGCGTTGTTTTTTTCTCTGCAGTTTAGCCGAAGAAATCAACTGTGGGAGCAATTATTAGGAAATGGAAGACATACAAGACCACTGATAATCTCCCTTGATCTGGGGCTCCACGCAAGATCTCACCCCGTGGGGTCAAAATGATCACAAGAACGGTGAGCAAAAATCCCAGAACCACACGGGGGGACCTAGTGAATGACCTGCAGAGAGCTGGGACCAAAGTAACAAAGCCTACCATCAGTAACACACTACGCCGCCAGGGACTCAAATCCTGCAGTGCAAGACGTGTCCCCCTGCTTAAGCCAGTACATGTCCAGGCCCGTCTGAAGTTTGCTAGAGTGCATTTGGATGATCCAGAAGAGGGATTGGGAGAATGTCATATGGTCAGATGAAACCAAAATATAACTTTTTGGTAAAAACTCAACTCGTCGTGTTTGGAGGACAAAGAATGCTGAGTTGCATCCAAAGAATACCATACCTACTGTGAAGCATGGGGGTGGAAACATCATGCTTTGGGGCTGTTTTTCTGCAAAGGGACCAGGACGACTGGTCCGTGTAAAGGAAAGAATGAATGGGGCCATGTATCGTGAGATTTTGAGTGAAAACCTCCTTCCATCAGCAAGGGCATTGAAGATGAAACGTGGCTGGGTCTTTCAGCATGACAATGATCCCAAACACACCGCACGGGCAACGAAGGAGTGGCTTCGTAAGAAGCATTTCAAGGTCCTGGAGTGGCCTAGCCAGTCTCCAGATCTCAACTCCATAGAACATCTTTGGAGGGAGTTGAAAGCGACAGCCCCAAAACATCACTGCTCTAGAGGAGATCTGCATGGAGGAATGGGCCAAAATATCAGCAACAGTGTGTGAAAACCTTGTGAAGACTTACAGAAAACGTTTGACCTGTGTCATTGCCAACAAAGGGTATATAACAAAGTATTGAGAAACTTTTGTTATTGACCAAATACTTATTTTCCACCATAATTTGCAAATAAATTCATAAAAAATCCTACAATGTGATTTTCTGGATTTTTCTTTCTCATTTTGTCTGTCATAGTTGACGTGTACCTATGATGAAAATTACAGGCCTCTCTCATCTTTTTAAGTGGGAGAACTTGCACAATTGGTGGCTGACTAAATACTATTTTTCCCCACTGTATATCCGCTAACAGAAACATGCTAATGCAGGGATTTCTAATGGTGTGCATATTAATTATGATAATGCACAAGCACGGAGGAAGTTGTATCCATAGTTTGGCTTCATCTTTTAAAAGCGTTCCAAAATGAGGTTGATAACTCCTTATACAAACTGTTAGATAACCAAATTCACATTCACAGCTGTTCTTCTACTGTACACTGAAGTTTCCCTTAGACACAGATCTAGGATCAGCTTACCCTCCCCCCAATCATAACCTTAACTATTAGGGGGAAAACCACAAAACTGCTCTTAGATCATTGTCTAGGGTTCAACTTCATCCCCAGTCGAGCTGTATGCTTAGTTTGGATGTGCTATTTTAAGGTGCATTGTCCCTTTTTATTTGCTACCCCCGTGCCACACTGAAACAACAACGCAAAATAAAGTATTTTCAGTGTGTCTTTCTCAATGTCTTTCTTTGTTAGTTTAAAACGCATCGTTTTAAAAAGCCTTTATGATGTTAGGATTATATCCCCTGCAAGTGTGGTCTCAAACTCATTTTACCCCGGGGGCCACATTATTTCAATCGGCTCAGGGGCTGCTTTTGGATCTTGGGCCTGTAGTTTGAGACCCGTGCTCTACAAGCGCTGAGCAAAATACAGTAAGCAAAGTCCGGTGGTTTGAAACATTGTGAGTAACATTAGATGGAGTACAATGGTACATCATATAGGACACCACAAGTACAGAATAAAATGTGTCTAATATTGTGATTGATTGACTACAGTTCCCACAATTCATCTTGTCCTGAAAACTTGCCACTTGAAAATAAGTCAACCCACTGCATCATACTCAAATAGTACTGCTGTCCATTCACCCCTATACAGAGTAGTTGTTGCTGACGCAAACCCATGTAGTGTTTTATTTGAAATATATATATATAGTGTTTTATTTGATATATATTTAGTGTTTTTTATTTTCCTCTTAAAACATACATTTTAAATCTTGAGGCGGTGACACTGTAAAGCCATATTTAAAAAGCACTGCACACTGGAATTTTCTTTTGTCAGTTGGGTTTTGTTTGGTTATGAGGTTGTTTTTCTTGTTGTTGTTTACAAGTGGAGAAAGGGTAGGATCCTACGTCTTTGTTGGTGTGTGTGTGTTCGTGTGCGATCCTACGCAGTTTCTCACACTGTGGCATCTCAGGGATGCCTCACACCACCGGCTCCCCAACACCCCCGCGCTCTGTGGTAAGAATCTACCGGATCCGCGTTTGTTTTTGTTCTAGAATCAGCATTGTTCAGGGCAACCAGCTGAACCTGGTGGGAATAGGGTGCCATTTGGGACGTACCCTACAACCTTTCTCAGATTTAATCCTCTCTAGGTGACGTATGTGCCATATGAAATAAATGAGTGAATAACTTCATAAAAACCTATCTCCCGCCGTGTTTATTTACAACGAACCCCATTTAGTTTACTTCAGCAAGGTCATAGCCATAGTTTGTAGTGTTGTACTGTAGTACTGTAGCATAACATTGACTGATTGATTGGTTGATTGATTGACTGTCTGACTAATTGATTGGGGGGGGGGGGGGGGGGGGAGTGTATTCTATGGCCTCATTCTTCTCCCCCTTCAGTGTCCATAGATCTGACCAAAGCTACAATACCATCATACTGCCTATCCACCTACCAAGTCGTTTCAGATCTGTGAATACAGGAAAGAAAGATAGAAAACATTTGAGATACAATTCTGTTGAGTGATATTAGTGCCAACAGAAATTGAGTCCGTTTTTTTTTTTTTTTGGGGGGGGGGGGGGGGGGCACTAAAATCACTCCATCCTTCCAGACCAAACTAGACCCCCTTTCCTCAAAAATCCCTTGACCCATGACTCCTCTCAGTCTGACCATTCCCCGTTGTCCTCCCCGCCGGAGTCAGACTCTGATTCGCTGTACTCGACGGCGATACGACGTGATAGGATGGTTGCCACATCGTTTCCTACGGGCTCTCTCTTCGCTTCCTGCTCTCTCTGCTCTTGTACCCTCCTCAACTGGATACCTGGAGGATGGAGGGAGGGATGGAGAGAGAGAGAGAGAGGGAGGGAAGGATGGTGGAATGGAGAGAGGGAGGAAAGGATGGAGAGGGAGGGAGGGAAGGGTGGAGGGAGGGAGGAAGGAAGGAAGGATGGATGGAGAGAGGGAGGGAGGGAAGGATGGAGGGAAGGATGGAGGGAGAGCGGGAGGGAAGGATGGAGGGAAGGATGGAGGGAGAGAGGGAGGGAAGGAGGGAGGGAGCGAGGGAAGGAGAGAGGGAAGGAGGGAGGGAGAGAGGGAGGGAGAGAGGGAGGGAGAGAGGGAGGGAGGGAAGGAAGAGAGAGGGAGGGAGGGAGGGAAGGATGAGAGAGGGAGGGAGGGAAGGATGGTGGAATGGAGAGAGGGAGGAAAGGATGGAGAGGGAGGGAGGGAAGGATGGAGGGAGGGAGGGAAGGGTAGAGGGAGGGAGGAAGGATGGTGGGGATGGGAGGGGAAGGAGAGAGGGAGGGAAGGATGGAGGGAGGGGATGGAGGGAAGGAGGAGGGAGAGCGGGAGGGAAGGATGGAGGGAAGGATGGAGGGGAGAGCGGGAGGGAAAGGATGGGAGGGAAGGATGGAGGGAGAGAGGGAGGGAGGGAGAGAAGGGAGGGAGGGAGAGAGGGAGAGAGGAGGGAAGGAGAGAGGGAGGGAGGGAGGGAGGGAGGGAAGGATGGAGGGAGAGGAGGGAGGGAGAGAGGGAGGGAAGGATGGAGGGAGAGAGGGAGGGGGGAAGGATGGAGGGAGAGAGGGAGGGAGAGAGGGAGGGAGAGAGGGAGAGAGGGAGGGAGGGAGGGAGGGGAGGGAGGGAGGGAGGGAGGGAGGGAGAGAGGGAGAGAGGGAGAGAGGGAGGGAGGGAGGGGGAGGGAAGGAAGGATGGAGGGAGGGAGGGAGGGAGGGATGGAGGAGGGAGGGAGGGAGGGAAGGAAGGATGGAGGGAGGGGGGAGAGAGAGGGAGGGAGGGAGGGAAGGAAGGAAGGATGGAGGGAGAGAGGGAGAGAAAGAGTGGTTAAATAGATGCATACCAGAGGCTGGTGGGAGGAGCTATAGGAGGACAGCTCATTATAATGGCTGGAATGGAATAAATGGAACAGTATCAAACACATCCCACCAGCCTCCTCTGGTATGTATCTATCTAACCCCTCTCTCCGTCTCTCCATCATACACTAAACACACACGCGCATGAGAGAGGAAGTTATAGAGGCACAAAGATCCTACCCCTAAGACATGCTAACCTCTCACCATTACCAATAACAGGGGAGCTGGTATGATATTTCATCCTCTGTAACTTTCTCTCTCATCACTATTCACAATACATTCAGGATTATTCGTAACCATGGTAGCATCCACATTACAGATATTCTCGATTGCTTGAGCACATTTGTCCAAACAGAAATAACTTTTTCAAAACAATTAACAAGCAGCCCCAAACTGAAGCACGTTGGCAAAAATGACACATTTGGTTTCCAAATGTATTAAGACTCATGTATGACACATGTATCCACACACACACACACACACACCCTCTCTCACCTCCGCGTATGGCTGTCAGGAGTTCACTGCGAGCGTTACTCATCGGAATCACACCTAAGCATCACACACACACACATCACACACACACATCCACAAACCGAAAACAAACTTAAACATGAAAATAAACACAAATGGAAACAAAATCTCTCTCTCTCTCTCTCTCTCTCTCTCTCACCTCTACGTATGGCGGCTAACAGGTCGCTGCGAGCATCGCTTATCGGAATCATCGGCATTTGGCCCTTCCTGGTGGGCGGAGCTTCTCCTTGAGACCCACCAATAGCGTGAGCCGGAGACAGGATGTGGGAGGGGGGAAGGCCTGGTGGGGGAGGTGGGGGGGCAGCGGGAGGGGCATGAGAGGGGGAGGGGACATAGTGGGCAGGGGGGGCGGGGGGAGGAGGGGAGGGACTGTAAGAGCGGGTCATGACGGCCCCTGGGGGGAGGGAGGGGGGAGGAAGGGGAGAGGAGGAGGTGGAGTTGAAGGCGGTCTGGGCGGAGGGAATGACGGGGGGAGGAGGGGGAGGGGCGGGGGGGATGAAGTACTCTGGGATGGTCGATGGCTGGCCGCTGAGGGAAGAGAGAGAAAGAACAGATCAGTGAATCAGACAACACCTCTCTCTCATCATGACAGTGGGACGACCACACAACATCTCATATTATTTCAATATAAGGCGTTTCCACCGCCATTTCCTGCATAATTAATTTTACAGACACAAAAAGATCCCACTGTGTCGAATGAACAAATGATCTGTCAGCATTTATCAAATCTAACCGAAACGTATATCTGACGCTAACCGAACCTGTTTCCATCACACCTGTCGTGATTCTTACTCACATAAAAACTGTAGATGGAAACGTGGTTAGCGTCAGATATACGTTTTGTTTACAAAACATTTGTGTTGGCGTGATTCATATGAGAGGTTTTACTATCCACAGTATGTATACAGCTTTGCAGGCCTACAATGGAGTGTTAAAGTCAGATTGACAAAATAAACCTAACAGTCTACTAACTCATTTAACTGATACCACAGGATAGATATGGAATAGTTCCTAATGTAATGACACAATACCTAGTAGCCTACAGTACGTGATAGTTCACTTACCCATGAGCCCTGTAGTCCTTGACAGACTGCTGACGTGGTCCGTTGAGTGCCCCTCCCTCGGAGGGTGGGGGGGGTGCGTGGGGGGGCTGGGTGCGCCCCAGTGAGGCGATGTGTCGTACTGCCGCCCCAGAGGGAGGGTTGGGTCTAGGGTACCCCCCCCTGTCCAGAGACTGAGTCTGGGGGGCTTGGGTGAGGTGGGGGGCACCGTCGATGGGGTGGGGGGCAGAGATGGGCTGGGAGGGGTGGTTAGGGCTGGCGGGGTAGGAATGCTCGCCCATGTCTGATGCCATCGACCTGGGAGGGGTGGGGTGGGGGGGGGGGGGGGGGTAGAATAAATTGGGGGAGAGAGGGATGGATGGGAAGATAAAGTTGTCTAGTTTCCGTGGTGGAAGATACTTATATCTAACTTCTCATATCCTTAACAAGGACTCGCACTCATTGATATAATCAGAAATCAATTCTACATAGACGTGTAGTGTTTGCCACTCCCCAGCAGAGGGCTGTAGAAGGCTAGCCAGCGCCTGTCCACTCAGCAGAGGGCAGCAGATAGCGAGCCAGTGCCTGTCCACTCAGCAGAGGGCAGCAGATAGCGAGCCAGTGCCTGTCCACTCAGCAGAGGGCAGCAGATAGCGAGCCAGTGCCTGTCCACTCAGCAGAGGGCAGCAGATAGCGAGCCAGTGCCTGTCCACTCAGCAGAGGTCAGTAGATGGCTAGCCAGTGTCTGTCCACTCAGCAGAGGGCAGCAGATAGCGAGCCAGTGCCTGTCCACTCAGCAGAGGTCAGTAGAAGGCTAGCCAGTGTCTGTCCAATCAGCAGAGGTCAGTAGATGGCTAGCCAGTGTCTGTCCACTCAGCAGAGGTCAGTAGAAGGCTAGCCAGTGTCTGTCCAATCAGCAGAGGTCTGTAGATGGCTAGCCAGTGCCTGTCCAATCAGCAGAGGTCAGTAGAAGGCTAGCCAGTGCCTGTCCAATCAGCAGAGGTCAGTAGAAGGCTAGCCAGTGCCTGTCCAATCAGCAGAGGTCAGTAGAAGGCTAGCCAGTGTCTGTCCACTCAGCAGAGAACTCTGGTGTTACAAGCTCCATACAACAAACAAGCACCATATTCTGACCAAATGAACCATTGGAAGTATTCAGATTTATTGACGAATTGATTGATTGACTGATTGATTGATTTGTTGACTGATTAATTGACTGACTGACTGACTGATTGATTGATTGACTGGTTGACTGATTGACTGATTGACTGATTGATTGACTGATTGACTGATTAATTAAATGAACCTACATGTTATCAGGTGATAGTGATCCCTCGGAGGACATTCCGTGGTAGGGTGAGGGGGTGAGTCGTGTATCCGGGCGGAACTCCTTGTCATATGCCATCATATTCCACTCCTGTCTGCGATTCCTTGCCTTCCTCACCTTCTTCACCTCTCTGCCCGGGTCCTCCACCTGTTTCTGCTGCTCCTGATGGAGGGATAGTGGAGAGGGAAGGATGGATGGAGAGAGTTATTATTTTCTCCTCTTTGAGACACGGAAAGAAAGCCCCTCCACCATTATCGCCTACACATCCTGCCTTCACTCAGCCCCACTAATGTAAGCCTTTTGGAATCAGCGTAAAACATAATGAACACAACAAAAAACAGGCCCCAACACACAGAGACAGGGATGCAGACGGAGGGTCCAGGGTCCTGGTGGAGAAAAGAGAGGGGTTGGGGTACAAAGAAAGGGGACACGGAACCCACAGGACCAATCACCCAACACAGACAGACGGGCAAGTTAGGTGATATCCTGGTCAGGGGACATAGAAACAGGGAACGTCACGGACAGGGGCACATGGGGGCATAGCGGTGGTGGTGGGGGTCTTACGGAGCTGGGCAGGGGGCTGCGTGGTGGAGCCTGTCTGATGTGGGGTCTACCCTGGTCACAGTGGGCTGGACAGCTGGTCTGGATGGAGAGAGAGAGACGTCTACTGGGTTAGATAATGTAGAGATGGATTCAATATGTACAGGGGAGAAGGGGCAGAGGAGAGGAGAGGAGAGGAGAGGAGAGGAGAGGAGAGGAGAGGAGAGGAGAGGAGAGGAGAGGAGAGGAGAGGAGACGGAGAGGAGAGGAGAGGGAGGAGAGGAGAGGAGAGGAGAGGAGAGGATAGAGGGAGAGGGCTAGGAGGAGGAGGAGAGGAAAGGAAAGGAGAGGGAGAGGAGGAGGGAGGAGGAGGATACGGAGGAGGGGGAGAGGGAAGGAGAGGAGAGGAGAAGAGAGGAAGGAGAGAGAGAGGAGAGGAGAGAAGAAGAGAGGAGAGGAGAGGAGAGGAGAGGAGAGGAGAGGAGAGGGAGGGAGGAGAGGGGAGGGAGGAGAGGAGGGAAGTAGGGAGGAGAGGAGGGAAGTAGGGAGGGAGGGAGAGGAGAGGAGAGGAGAGGAGAGGAGAGGAGAGGAGAGGAGAGGAAAGGAGAGGAGAGGAGAGGAGAGGAGAGGAGAGGAGAGGAGAGGAGAGGAGAGGAGAGGAGAGGAGAGGAGAGGAGGAGAGGGAGGATACGGAGGAGAGGAGGAGAGGAGAGGGAGGATACGGAGGAGAGGAAGGAGGAGAAGAGAGGAGAGGAGGAGAGGAGAGGAGGAGAGGGAGGATACGGAGGATACGGAGGAGAGGAGAGGGAGGAGAGAGAGGAGAAAGGAGGCAGGTGTCTGGAGAGAGGGGGATAGAGCTCTAGAATTCAAACATCTAGAGTGGTCAAATACAGGTAGGACACACACTGATAGTTGAAGAGTGGAGGAAAGAGGAGAAGAGTGATGAGGGAGAGCAGGAACGTGGGGAAGAGGTGATAGTGACAGGAAGTGTGAGGAGAGAGATGGGGAGCGAGGTTCATTGGTACTGGTAGACTAGTAGACTGGCAGACTGGTAGACTGGTTTACAAGGGCAAAGGGGGAGAAGGGGTGAGAAGAGGGATAGGCTTGGAGGCGGTGGGTTTAGAGCTTGGAAACTGGGGCTCTCATCAAATATGTCAAAGACTAGTAGAGACCACTGACTGGGTGGGGATAAGGAAGGACTGGGTGGGGAGGTTTGGACTAGAACACAACACACAGTCCTGACTAGAACACAACACACAGTCCTGACTAGAACACACAGTCCTGACTCGAACAGAACACACAGTCCTGACTAGAACACACAGTCCTGACTAGAACACAACACACAGTCCTGACTAGAACACAACACACAGGCCTGACTAGAACACAACACACAGTCCTCACTAGAACACAACACACAGTCCTGACTAGAACACACAGTCCTGACTAGAACAGAACACACAGTCCTGACTAGAACAGAACACACAGTCCTGACTAGAACACAACACACAGGCCTGACTAGAACACACAGTCCTGACTAGAACAGAACACACAGTCCTGACTAGAACAGAACACACAGTCCTGACTAGAACACAACACACAGGCCTGACTAGAACACACAGTCCTCACTAGAACACAACACACAGTCCTGACTAGAACACAACCACACAGGCCTGACTAGAACACAACACACAGTCCTCACTAGAACACAACACACATGCCTGACTAGAACACAACACACAGTCCTCACTAGAACACAACACACAGTCCTCACTAGAACAGAACACACAGTCCTGACTAGAACAGAACACACAGTCCTGACTAGAACACAACACACAGGCCTGACTAGAACACACAGTCCTCACTAGAACAACCACACCACTACCAGTCCTGACTAGAAACACACACACACAGTCCTGACTAGAACACAACACACAGTCCTGACTAGAACACAACACACAGTCCTGACTAGAACACAACACACAGTCCTGACTAGAACACACAGGCCTCACTAGAACACAATACACAGGCCTGACTTCCTTGCCCACTGACAAAGAAATGATCAGTCTATAATTTTAATGGTAGGTTTATTTTAACAGTGAGAGACAGAATAACAACAAAAAAATCCAGAAAAACGCATGTCAAAAATGTTATAAATTGATTTGCATTTTAATGAGGGAAATAAGTATTTGACCCCCTCTCAATCAGAAAGATTTCTGGCTCCCAGGTGTCTTTTATACAAGTAACGAGCTGAGATTAGGAGCACACTCTTAAAGGGAGTGCTCCTAATCTTGGTTTGTTACCTGTATAAAACTGTCCACAGAAGCAATCAATCAATCAGATTCCAAACTCTCCACCATGACCAAGACCAAAGAGTTCTCCAAGGATGTCAGGGACAAGATTGTAGACCTACACAAGGCTGGAATGGGCTATAAGACCATCGGCAAGCAGCTTGGTGAGAAGGTGACAACAGTTGGTGCGATTATTCGCAAATGGAAGAAACACAAAATAATTGTCAATCTCCCTCGGCCTGGGGCTCCATGCAAGATCTCACGTCGTGGAGTTGCAATGATCATGAGAACGGTGAGGAATCAGCCCAGAACTACACAGGAGGATCTTGTCAATGATCTCAAGGCAGCTGGGACCATAGTCACCAAGAAAACAATTGGTAACACACTACACCGTGAAGGACTGAAATCCTGCAGCGCCCACAAGGTCCCCCTGCTCAAGAAACCACATTTACAGGCCCGTCTGAAGTTTGCCAATGAACATCTGAATGATTCAGAGGAGAACTGGGTGAAAGTGTTGTGGTCAGATGAGACCAAAATCGAGCTCGTTGGCATCAACTCAACTCGCTGTGTTTGGAGGAGGAGGAATGCTGACTATGACCCCAAGAACACCATCCCCACCGTCAAACATGGAGGTGGAAACATTATGCTTTGGGGGGGGGTTTCTGCTAAGGGGACAGGACAACTTCACCGCATCAAAGGGACGATGGACGGGGCCATGTACCGTCAAATCCTGGGTGAGAACCTCCTTCCCTCAGCCAGGGCATTGAAAATGGGTTGTGGATGGGTATTCCAGCATGACAATAACCCAAAACACACGGCCAAGGCAACAAAGGAGTGGCTCAAGAAGAAGCACATTAAGGTCCTGGAGTGGCCTAGCCAGTCTCCAGACCTTAATTCCAGAGAAAATCTGTGGAGGGAGCTGAAGGTTTGAGTTGCCAAACGTCAGCCTGAAAAACCTTAATGACTTGGAGAAGATCTGCAAAGAGGAGTGGGACAAAATCCCTCCTGAGATGTGTGCAAACCTGGTGGCCAACTACAAGAAACGTCTGACCTCTGTGATTGCCAACAAGGGTTTTGCCACCAAGTACTAAGTCATGTTTTGCAGAGGGGTCAAATACTTATTTCCCTCATTAAAATGCAAATCAATTTATACATTTTTTGACATGCATATATATATATTTTTATTTTTTGTTATTCTGTGTCTCACTGTTCAAATAAACCTACCATTAAAATTATAGATTGATCATGTCTTTGTCAGTGGGCAAATGTACAAAATCAGCAGGGGATCAAATACTTTTTTCCCTCACTGTACTCCAGAATGTCATGAAGAGTGATCAGTTGAATTGCAATTAATTGCAAAGTCCGTCTTTGCCATGAAAAGGAACTTAATCCCCAAAAAACATTTCCACTGCATTTCAGCCCTGCCACTAAATGACACCAGCTGACATCATGTCAGTGATTCTCTCGTTAACACAGGTGAGAGTGTTGACGAGGACAAGGCTGGAGATCACTCTGTCATGCTGATTGAGTTAGAATAACAGACTGGAAGCTTTAAAAGGAGGGTGCTTGAAATCATTGTTCTTCCTCTGTTAACCATGGTTACCAGCAAGGAAACCTGGGCCGTCATCATTACTTTGCACAAAAAGGGCTTCACAGGCAAGAATATTGCTGCTAGTAAAGATTGCACCTAAATCACAAATTTTTCGGATCATCAATAACTTCAAGGAGAGAGGTTCAATTGTTGTGAAGAAGGCTTCAGGGCACCCAAGAAAGTCCAGCAAGCGCCAGGACCGTCTCCTAAAGTTGATTCATCTGCGGGATCGGGGCACCACCAGTGCAGAGCTTGCTCAGGAATGGCAGCAAGCAGGTGTGAGTGCATCTACATGCACAGTGAGGCGAAGACTTTTGGAGGATGGCCTGGTGTCAAGAAGGGCAGCGAGGAAGCCACTTCTCTCCAGGAAAAACATCAGGGACAGACTGATATTCTGCAAAAGGTACAGGGATTGGAATGCTGAGGACTGGGGTAAAGTCATTTTCTCTGATGAATCCCCATTCCGATTGTTTGGGGCATCCGGAAAAAAGCTTGTCCGGAGAAGAAAAGGTGAGCGCTACCATCAGTCCTGTGTCATGCCAACAGTAAAGCATCCTGAGACCTTTCATGTGTGGGGTTGCTTCTCAGCCAAGGGAGTGGGCTCACTCACAATTTTGCCTAAGAACACAGCCATAAATAAAGAATGGTACCAACACATCCTCCGAGAGCAACTTCTCCCAACCATCCAAGAACAGTTTGGTGACGAACAATGCCTTTTCCAGCATGATGGAGCACCTTGCCATAAGGCAAAAGTGATAACTAAGTGGCTCGGGGAACAAAACATCGAACGGAAACTCCCCAGACCTTAATCCCATTGAGAACTTGTGGTCAATCCTCAAGAGGCGGGTGGACAAACAAAAACCCACAAACTCCAAGCATTGATTACGCAAGAATGGGCTGCCATCAGTCAGGATGTGGCCCAGTAGTTAATTGACAGCATGCCAGGGCGGATTGCAGAGGTCTTGAAATAGAACGGTCAACACTGCAAATATTGACTGTTTGCATAAACCTTATGTAATTGTCAATAAAAGCCTTTGACACTTATGGAATGCTTGTAATTATACTTCAGTATACCATAGTAACATCTGACAAAAATATCTAAAAACACTGAAGCAGCAAACTTTGGAAAAGACCAATACTTGTGTCATTCTCAAAACTTTTGACCACGACTGTACAGTCTGCGATTTGGGGTCGAGAATTAAGGTAGATAATTTTATTTGACT